TGCACCCGTTTGTATCACAATTCTTTTCGTTTGTACCCTCAAGGAGGTGAATGTACTGAATTTTTAAATAGTGATGAGAGCTAAAATTTCATCATTTTTTATGATATTTAAATCTTTAAACGGATACTGTTTCGGGATCGTTTGCACCCGTTTGTACCACATTTTTTTTCATTTGTGCTCTCAAGTGAGTGACTGCATCGAATTTTCAAGTACGACAGCTAACTTCGCCATTTTTTATTATATTTCAAATCTGTAAAGGAATGCTGTCTCAGGATTGTTTGTACTCGTTTGTACTACCTTTCTTTTCTTTTTTTTCTTCAAAGGAAGAAGGAATTGTACCAAATTTTTAAAATAGGAGTAAGATCTAACTTCACTTTTTTTTGTGGTATTTTAAATCTGTAAAAGGATGTTGTCTCGGGGTCGTTTGTACTCATTTGTACTATCTTTCTTTTTGTACCCTCAAGGGAGTAATTGAATTTTCAAAATATGGGTAACAGTTAACATCTATATTCTTTCACGATATTGTAAATCTATAATCAAATTGTTTCAGAATTGTTTGTATCCGTATGTGTTACCATTCTTTTCGTATATACCCTCAAGGTACGATTGTACCGAATTTTCAATAGGAATGAGAATTAACTTTGCCTTTCTTCATGATATATCAAATCTGTAACCGTGAAGTATCGAAATTGTTTGTACCCATTTGTATCATCTTTCTTTTCGTTTGTTTCACACAACAGGATTGTAATGTATATTCAATATTGGGGTGAAAGTTAACTACGCCATTCTTTGTGATATTTTAAATCTGTAAACGAGTTCTGTTTCGGGATCATTTGTACCAGTTTGTACCACTTTTTTTTCGTTTGTACTTTCAACGGAGAGATTGTAATGAATTTTCAAAATATTGGTCAGAGCTAACTTTGCCATTCTTTATAATATTTTAAATCTTTGTGAATGTGTGCTGTTTCAAGATCGTTTGTAACTATCTGTATCACCTATTTTTTTATTTGTATCTTCAGAGTGATTATTATGAATTTTCAAGATATGGGTGAGAACACGCTTCTTCATTTTTCATGATATTTTATGTTTGTAAACCGAAGATGTTTTGGGATTTTTTGTACCCGGCTGTACCACCGTTATTTGCGTTTGTACCCTCAAGGAGATGATTGTAATAAATTTAAAAATATGAGAGAGAGAGAGCTAACTTCGCTATTCTTTATGATATTATAAAGCTGTGAACGAGTGATATTTTAGAATCATTTGTATCCCTTTGTATCATCTTTTTTTTCATTTGTTCCTTCAAAGTGCGCCGAATTTTCAAATTAGTGGTAACAGCTAAAATTTCATCATACTTTATTACATTTTAAATTTTATTACATTTTCAACTGATGTCTCATTTGTATCCGGTTATATCACCTTTCTTTTTGTTTACATCATCAAGGGAGTGATTGCATTGAATTTATAAGATAGGGGTCACAGCTAAAATATTTCACCATTCTTTTTGATATTTTAAATCTATAATGATTGTTACGGGATCATTTGTATTGGTTTGTACTATATTTTTTTTTGTTCGTACCTTCAAGGGGTGATTGTAACAAATTTTCAAAGTAGGGGTAATAGCTAATATAGCCATTCTTTCTGATATTTTAAATCGATAAATGAATGCTGTTTCGAGATTGTTTGAACACATTTGTACCATCTTTCTATTCGTTTGCACCCTGGAGGGGGTGATTGTACCAAATTTTCAAAATATGGGTGAGAGCTAGCATCGCCATTTTTTATGATATTTCAAGTCTGTGAACGGGTGCTGTTTCGGAATCGCTTGTATACCTTTATACCACTTTTCTTTTCTCGTGTATTCTCACGCGGTACCGAATTTTCTAGTTAGGGATGACAGCTAAAACTTCAATAGTTTTTTGATATTTTAAATCTGTAATCGGGTGCTGTATCGATATCGTTTGTACCCTTTTGAACTATCTTTCTTTTTGTTTTTACTTTCAAGGGGATGATTGTACTGAATTTTCAAAATATGGGAACTAACTTCTCCATTCTTTATGGTATTCCGAATCTGTGGACGGATGCTGTTTCAAGATCGTATTCCCTTTGTATTCGTTTGTACCACCTTTCGTACCTTCAAAGGGATGATTGCGCAATTATAAAGTGAGAGGTGAGAGCGAAACGGGTACTGTTTGTATCCCTTTGTATCACTTTTCTTTTTGCTTGTACTATCAAGGGGATGATTGCGCCGAATTTTAAATTTAGGTGTAACAGCTAACTTTTCCATTTTCTATTATATTTAAAATCTGTAAATGGGTACTCGGCATCGTTTATATCCGTTTGTATCACCTTTCTTTTAGTTTGTACTATTAAGTATTTGATTGCATCAAATTTTCAAGATAGGGGTGAGAGCTAATTTCTCGTCATGCCTTATAATATTTTAATTCTTCAGGAAACAAATGTCATTTTTTAAGATATTTTAAATCTGTAAATGGATCTTGTTCGGGATCGTTTGTACTCGTTTGTACTTTCTTTTCGTTTATACTCTCAAGGGAGTGATTATACCAATTCTTAAAATATGAGTGAGAGCTAACTTCACCATTTTATATGTTTTTTAAATCTGTGAACGATTGCCGTTTTGGAATCGTTTGTATCCCTTTGTATTCTTATATATATCTATTTCGTTTGTACTCTCAAGGGGGCGATTGCGCCGAATTTTCTAGTTAGTGTCGACATCTAAAACTTCGCCATTCTTTATTATATTTTAAATCTATAAACGGGTGCTGTTTCGGGATCGTTAATGTCTTTTCGTACCACCTTTATTTTCTTTTGTATCTTCAATGGGCTGATTGAACCGAATTTTCATTTTAGGGATGACAGTTAAAGCTTTATTATTCTTTGTATTTTAAATCTTTTAACGGGTGTCTTGAGATTGTTTGGATCCGTTTGTACCACTTTTCTTTTCATTTGTATTATCAACGCTGTGATTGCATCGAATTTTCAAGATAGGTGTAAGAGCTAACGAATTTTGTCATTCTTTATAATATTTTAAGTCTTTAAACGGATGTTCTTTCGTAATCGTTTTTATCCCTTTGGACAACGTTTCTTTCGTTTGTATTCTCAAAGATATGATTGTAATAAATCCTCAAAATATGAGTGAGAGTTCATTTCGCCATTAAGAGTATAAACAGAATCAATGGTGACACAAACGGGTACAACGATCCTCTCATCCCTATCTTGAAAATTTAATGCAATCAAATATTTGATAGTACAAAAGAAAGATGGTACAAACGGATATAAATGATGACTCATTTACAGATTTTAAATATAATAGAAAATGGAAAAGTTTTAGCTGTTACACTTAAATTGAAAATTCGGCTCAATCACCCCCTTGATGGTACAAGCAAAAAGAAAAGTGGTACAAAGGGACACAAACAGCACCCGTTTACAGGTTTAAAATATCACAAAAAATGGTAAAGTTATATCTCACTTCTATTTCAAAAATTTGATACAATCATCCTTAAAGGAACAAATGAAAAGTTGAGTGGTACAAACGGGTACAAACGATACAATAACAGCACTTCTTTACAGATTTAAAATATCAAAATTAACTTTCATCCCTCTTTTGAAAATTCGGTAAAATCACCTCCAAGATGTACAAACAAAAAGAACGGTGGTACAAATTATTGGTAAATTAAACGGTTACAAATTATCTCGAGATAGCACTCGTACAGATTTAAATTATCATAAAGAATGGTAAAGTTAACTCTCATCCTTATTTTGAAAATTCGGTACAATCTCCCGATCTCGAAACAGCATTCATTGTAGATTTAAAATATCATAAAGTATGATGATGTTTTTTAGCTCTCACACTTGTCTTGGAAATTTGATGCAATTACAATTTTGATGATACAAACGAAAATAAAATTGATACAAACGGGTATAAACTATTCCCAGACAGCACCCATTTACAGATTTAATTTATAATAAATAATGGCGAAGTTTTAGCTGTTATCACTAACTTGAAAATTCGGCGTAATCAAAACTTGAGGATACAAATGAAAAGATAAGCGGTACAAAGGAATATAAACGATCCCGAAACAGCACCAGTTTACAGATTTAAAATATCATAAGAAATGATAAAGTTAGCTCTCAACCATGTATTGAAAATTTGGTACGACGTCGTGCAGCAAAGAAGAAAAAAAATTGAAGTTTCCATAATAATTACTATGGAGAGTAGAGTCTACATCGCCATTGATGACAGTGAAATCGGCCGGCGGACCGAATTGGAGGAGGAAGTGCTCAGCTGCGCGGCTGGCTTGCGAGTCACTATCTAACAGGTCTTTTCTAAATAATTACCACAAATTTATTCCTTCAGATCAATTCATTTCAATTCATTTCAATCCCGTTGGAACTCAGATAAATTAACTTCAATTTTCAATCAAATTTGAATTTATTTTCGAATGTTGGTATAAAATTAGCTTTAAAAGTACATATCTATATTTCAAACTTATATATCAAAATTATTATTACAAAACTTTAATAATTCATGACATTTCGGGAAAATCTTGTTTTTTGAGTTGTGTAGTAAATGAGCGATATTCTTTACACATTGTTCAACTAAATTTCGACACAAAAGTGTAGTGTACGCTATTTAATTACCGATGTCTGTATACTGCAATATGCTTTTAACTATTCTGTCCAAAATTCTCTCATAATAGGTTCTGAAGCGCTCTTTTTGAGACATGCATAATTCGGGAGTGCTTCTTCAAAAGGCTAAATATCCGACAATCTCCATGTTCAGGATTATCATCAAAGATCACAGTAATAATAATATTGTAATCATCGCTTCTACTACCTACAAAATGTTACTGCCATCCACAGATACATTGTTTGCCGTATGCAGCATGCACTACGGTGATATCCGACTGCGCCACTCCAGTTTCCGCTGTAAAAGAGAATACGCGCGCGCCGCCACGATCGTTCATTCACAACCACTTGCTCGACGGAGTAACATCGCTTCTCTACAAATCTGTCATTCGCAACTGTACAAATAGAAGCGTCAACTAGCCTCATTTTTTCCTTTTACTCTCGCAGCAAAGCGAAGTGCGCCATTGAAGATCGTGACAGGATGAGAACCAACACGATTTCCGGTCTTTTCTCGCTTTACTTATCGATCATCCTACTCGTGATCTTAGTTTCCATCAGTGATAAGGCATATGCTAAACGTAAGTGATATTTCTTATATTCATTAGTTTATACATTTAATTCTACAATAGTTTCCATAAACAACTAGGATTGTTCAAAAACATAATGACAGTTTATTAGTAATTTTGAAGTATTTCGTAAGAAATTATATAAAATCGTTATAAAATTAAATTATTTTAATTTGAATTTATAAATTATATAAAGCAATAAATATATCTTTACAGCGATTATATCATTATCGAATAGTACTTGTTATTTGTCGGATACTTATAGTTTAACATTTTAATAGGTAAAGAAATAATTTATTTTTTCTCGATATTCCAATATTTTTGAAGAATATTAATAAAATATAATTTTTGATAAATTTCTATACTTTTCAAATTTATAATTACAAACCAATAATTAAAAGTTTCTAGAAATTAAATTTTTTCTCTTTGAAAACGTTTACAAACTTTAGCATAAAAAATAAATAGCACAATTTTATTTTTTAATTTAAATTTAAATTTAAATTTAAATAATTTTATCAAAACATAAAAATTATTACATGTATTAAAAATAAAAGTGATATATAGTATTAAAATTATTACATACATTAAGAGTAAAAATAAGATATTAAACTTTTAAAATTAGTTGGAAACGCAACAGGATTTTTAAAATACATACGGTTTTCTTGAGCTGATCAACTTGCCAACTGAAAGTTTTAAAAACTTTGAAATGTGTATAAAATTTTTTTTCTTATTAATGTTTTTGTAACTTAATCTGTAAAACTAGTTTCCTTTTACTTATATTATATGAGTAATTGATCTTAGTTGCTTATGGAACGCATTTTTAATAGAGATAAAGAACGATAATTTACAAAATAGTTTCATAAATTATTTTGATCATCAATCACGATATATATATATTATTTCCAATGTAATTGTCTTATTTACATTTTAATTATTTCATATTTGTTTTCATCAATTTTTGTTTTAATTATTTTTTAATTACTTTATATTTATTTTTTGTATTTCTTTTAAATATTGTTAATTAATATGTGTTTTTTAATTATGCCAAATCAAAATCAGATATCCACGAAATTTGTTCATTAAACTATATTTGATTCTGTTTGGAAAACGAGAATAAACAAATTTCTACGTATATTTGAATAGTACCTTGCACGAGTTGCTAAAGAATTTTTTTATTTATATGTTACAAATACAATAATCTACATAAGCTTAATTCAATTTATGTTATCTTTTACTAAGACATAAGAAAGAAATTTAATTTGAAAATTTTTTTAATAGAAATTTATAAGTATAAATTTTTTTAATAGAATGAATTTTTTAAATTGTGTGACCTGATAACTGAATAAACCTTTCTTGTAACACAAAGAGAAATCACATGTATAAATTAATAAAATATATGTAAAAAAGTCAATTAGAGCCAACACTAGCTTTTCGGATGCATAGAAATTTCTTTATTCTCATGTGAACATCAATAACGAAATACAATATATAGACGTTTCAACCTTTCGTTTCGGGTCCTTTTCAATATAAATAATAATATATATATATATATATATAATAATATTATTAATACACATGTATAAATATACGTATTAATAAATATAAAATTTTTAATTGAATTTATTACACTTTCCACTAATATTTCTATTATCATTATAATGCATTAATAGTCACTTAGAGCTCGGTCGTATTTAAAATAACTTTATTTAAAATGTGTATTTTAAGTTAAAAAAAAATTAATAAGTTATTTAATAAATTTTACATTTATTGTTTTATATAATTTTTTTTGTTTTTTTTTTATATTTCCTTCTGATATTTCTTATTTAATATTTTGAACAAGTTTTTGTGATCTATTATATATTTGTTTTAAATATGTTGTATCAGTTTTTTTACCGACACCTGAGAGTTTATATATTAAATAAGTTTTTGAAACTTATTTTTTATTCCTTAGTTTTGATAAGTCATATTAATTATTTTATCGAACCCTGCTATTCAAGTATTGAAGAATTTCATATATACATATATGTTAATATATATTATAATATATAGTTATTTTGTTATTCAGTACTATAATAGCTATAACTATATCGTATACATGAAAATTGAAATGTAGAACATTTAAAGAGACAAAATTATTAAGAACTATTTATATTGTATTAGAATGTTTATTTAAAACATGTTTATATATAGCTAACATCAAGGCTAATGAGAGTCAAACGTAGGTGATCAGTAAAATTTAAAAATAATAAAATTACGAATCTTTTACTGATAAATTGTCTTATTTTAAACATTTCAACTCACTTTAGAGTTTTTTTCAGCAATATATTAGGTGTTGGAATTAATTCGTAGCGTTTTTTAATGAAAGAATGTTATTTATTTCACATGAGCATTAAAAAATACATTAATGAAAGTACTTCCCATCACTTGTAAAACGCTACGAATTAATTCCAACACCTAATAGATATACATATAACAAAAAGCTCATATATCCAAAAAGATTGTGTCACTCACAAATTGCTAGAGATAAAGTGATGTAAAATCTAGCGATACAAGAAAACTAATTAATATGGAAGAATGTAAAACAGTAAAGAGTGGAATGACTCACCTCAGTAGATAGAGAGCGTGTCAATCAGATCTCATACCTGATCACCTGTGTTTGGTTCTCATTAGCTTTGATTTATGTTAGTTATATGTATATTTTACAGATGAAAGTCTTATATAATGATTATTGTTTTTCTTAATTAAAACAATATTTCTTATTTTACTTATAAGTTATTGTTTTTAATAAATTGTTGAAATCAACTTTTTATTTAAAATAAGAAATACCATATTTGCTTGTTTGTTTCTCAAGTATGCGTTTAATTATTACTAATATTGTATAATTTATTTGCTTAAGAACTTGCATATTATTCCAATATTGATTTTTATAATAGACAAAAAACTGTGAGTCAGTTGAGAAGAGAATATAGCATTAGAAAAAATACATAGCTCATTCATATTAGCTTACTAAAATTTGAAATTTACCATATATTGAACATAAGATATGTACATTGAAGATGATTCAATATATATTCCAGTGAGTCGAAATTGTAATTTTTGATGTAATTTTGAAGAATATATGTAATGTTATTTATAATATTATATTATGTTAAATTTAAACGACAATCCTACTTGGCTCGTAGTCCTCTTTCAATAACTTCGTTTTTCAATAAATAAGTTTTCTAAATCTATTTTTTATTTTATATTTTAAATAAGTTCTTAGAATCTGTTTTATATTTTTAATTTGAATAAGTTATCAATTTTTTACCGAACTTTGCGAGTTCATATTTTAAATAAGATTCTGTATTTTATATATTTTGTTATAAATAAATTGTTATTCTATTGAGCCCTGAAAAGTCAATGGATTCTTTATATTTTTATATGAAAAATATATTTACAGCAATAATTGCGTAATTTCCTAGCCAATCTATAAATTATAAAGCATAAACTGTAACTGAATTTTCTACAATGTCATAAAAGTACTACGTCATCAAATGTATAAATAGTCCATCAATAGTCGAACAGCAAATACGAGCAAATAGGTCAAAAATGTCAAAAAAATATGTTTGTCATGCATGTTTACGAATGGCTCTATTTGCTAACTTTGTTCTTTTGCAAAAAACTATAATTGAAACAACGCTTTGATCGTGATATTTTACATATCGCGATCAAATTGTTTTGCCAGTTTGACATTCGACTGGTCATGTCCACTTCTCGTACATTTGAAACATCAAAATGGGTTTACGCTTTACGCAGAGAACTTACGAGTATTGAAAATATAATTTTATGGGAACGTATGTTACGTTAGTTCTTTTTTGTATCATAAGCACATTATATACGCTAGACCACGTAAAACGCCAAGCATTTCAACTTATCGCGTACGCGAATTTTTAGATTAATTTATGATTTTTAATTGAAGAGAAGAAACATTGAAAATAATTCATTGATTGATTGAAATATCCAATGTTATAAATAAATTATTTCTGTTGTGTGTGTGTCTAATTTGATCTTGACATATTCGTCTATAAAAAAATCTGTTTATTGCTGATATAATTGCCGATATTAATTGTTATTTAACATTAATAATTCTCGCTCGTGATACTTGTTCAAATGTAATTATATTTAATATTTTTTAAAAAACTCAATTAAAGAAAACAGTATATAAATTTGATTTAAATTTTGGATTAGAGAAAAAGATCTGCGGAATTTTGTTAGCTCAAAATTATATACAAAATATAATTGTTGTGAAATTTTCGACTATCCGACATGAAAACTTAAAGTTTCTTCTAAAAGTTTGTTTTTAAAAAATGTTCCTACGACTTTTTATTACACGCGGATTAAATAAAAAAGCATTCTGATTTTGATTGCTTATAACTCTGTTAAAAATCATCGTACTGTAATTAATAAAACAGATTCTTAAAGCTGAGACGTTGCTCTATTAAGTGATATAATTGCCAATTTAAAAAAAAAAAGAATATATGCACATCTGAGCTAAATATGTGATATTAATGTCCTTTTTTTCAATTGCGCAATGGTTATAAAGTGTAGATCGGTATAGTAGTATCATATTTTTAATTTAAATTTCTATATATTTTACATTAAAAAAATTAGCATGATATTTTATTCGATAAAGCAACGTTTCAGCTTTAAGAGTGTTTTTTTTAATTGTAATACGATTTTTAATGGAATTATGAGCAATCAAGTCAGAATGCTTCTTCTTAACTCACAAATAACTCAAGAACAAAAAATCGTAAAAACATTTTTAAAAAACGATTTTGTAAGGAAAACTTCAAACTTTTACGATATAGACAATTGAAATTTTTCGCAAATTTTTTTGGAGACGTGATAGACCCACAAAGTAAGAAGAAAAATTTTCATTTTTTTCAGTTCGTATATAAGAATTTTTCTGTATATAAGAATTACGAAACTCACATAAATTTAAAAAATATAATAGTTTGATAGTAGAGATATCA